GCTAGTTAAATCCCACACAGCAAGATCTAAACAAGTCACCGATCGCAATGCACTTGTCGACATGACGTCATCATGGTAAAATTTGACGCATTTTATGTGCAGTGAGAGGCGGATCAAGTAATTTTTTCACAGTGAAAAATGCATTTTATTATTAAACAGAATATTATTTTCAAATCTTAGGTAGACCATTAATACAAATCTGAAACGTTTGTTTAGTGTCATTATTTTAAAACTATCGAAAGAATGTATTGAATTAATTTTCCCGTGTTTTTGTCTACAGGGTGTGCATGTTTCACGCCGAGGTGCCTCATTAAATAGCCTTTTCGCAAGGGCATAAACTTAATAGATCTTGACCATTTTTTGAATATACATAACGGACACATTCCTTAACTTGAAAAGTGCTGCTGCTTTCCTGAAATCGAGAGCATTACTTAATAAATACATAAAATACTTGATAAAGGTCACAGATATTTCGACATAAGCCAGATAACTTGAAATTTAAACTAATAAAATGCGAATTCTATTTAAAGCAGCAGCACTTTCCATAAACTACAATTTATGTAGGAACAATTTATTACTTAAATTTTTAATTTTAACTAGGGTATGCCATTGCGATATTAAAAATTTGTTTGTGACCTACATACCACAGGCACTTGGGGTATGGACTCCCCCCCCCTTTTTCCCATTTTTTTTTCTTTTTTAATCTGGGGTCGAGTCACCTTTTTCCTATTTTTGTATTCTAATATGCACTGTATGTTATCAATAATGTAACTCTTTTGTCTCTATAAGCGGTTTTTAAATATATCGTTTTCGACTGATACATAAAAGAGAGAAGGCTTGCAACTCTTTTCTCATCGTTTGCCTCACCTCGCTTAAACTTCGCCTGATTATTTATCGAAAGCATAAGAAAAAATGGAATATGCATACATCAATAAATTCGTTATACATTCTTCTTCCTTTTCATATTTCCATTTAATTTTTATGTGCCCCCGATTTGTAAATATTTCGATTAAATCACCCACATCTAGGGTAAATTTTGTTAATGTGCACCAGCTGGGACGGAAGTGTCCGGTATTTTCGGGTATCATCATTACGTGTAATGTCATTCGGAACATTAAATGCGAGAAGGAATAAATCCCGAATTTTCTCTTCATATAACATGTAACGGTAAGTTCTGTGAATAACAAGATAACTGTAACTAGCAAATTCTAATGGATGAAGATTAACTTTTAATAGAAGACTTAGACAACCAAATTTCACAATATTGTTATTGCAAAGCTTGGAATTTTTTTTAAAATGCAGAACATTTATAAAGTTAGAGTTACCGTTATTGCACTTCCGTCCCAGCTGGTGCACATCAACAAAATTTACCCTAGATGTGGGTGATTTAATCGAAATATTTACAAATCGGGGGCACATAAAAATTAAATGGAAATATGAAAAGGAAGAAGAATGTATAACGAATTTATTGATGTATGCATATTCCATTTTTTCTTATGCTTTCGATAAATAATCAGGCGAAGTTTAAGCGAGGTGAGGCAAACGATGAGAAAAGAGTTGCAAGCCTTCTCTCTTTTTATGTATCAGTCGAAAACGATATATTTAAAAACAGCTTATAGAGACAAAAGAGTTACATTATTGATAACATACAGTGCATATTAGAATACAAAAATAGGAAAAAGGTGACTCGACACCAGATTTAAAAAGAAAAAAAAATGGAAAAAGGGGGGGTCCATACCCCAAGTGCCTGTGCTACATACAGTACACTTTATATGCATTTATCACGTGACTGTCAAATAACGTGACCAAACCAAATTCATTACAGAGCGGTGTATACAATGTTATTTCAAATAATATTTAAAGCCATGTGATAATATAGTACCTTTACAAAAATAAATTCAGTTTAAAAAGGTATGTATTTATGCACGTTTATATTCCGTTGATTTCTTCGAAGTACGCCTTAACACTGCTGCGAATTCTTTTTCTTTTCTTTTTTTTTTTGGGAGGGGGGGGGGGGTAGTCAAAGATTTGTTTTCAGGTAAGTTGTTATTCTTTTTTCCTTTTAATACCCCCTTTTTCAAAATCAATCCTATATATGTGCTTGACATTTATTTTTTCTACATTGCACTTAAACTAGAATTAAAAATTCTAGAATAATACAATGTTGTTTTTGTAACCCCGTTTCTCTCATTATGTTTGGCTAGTACTTCAGTAGATGTGAACAAGTACATTATGTAAGATGGCATGGATTGCTTAATGAATGTGTGTCATTTAATCATTGAATCATATGATAAAACAATTATTGCTTTTTTTTCGGTCAATACGATGATTTAGACACCTTCGATTCGAAGTACAATATTCACATCGCCCTTCGGGCTCGGTGAATATTGTACTCCTCAGGTGTCTAAATCATCATATTGACCTCAAAAGCCAGCAATAATTGTATAATAATTATTAGTTTTCAGAACGTTAACAATTTACTGGCGAAGTTCATACTTATTTTCATGCCTTTGTTTTTATACTTTACTACGGATAACTCTTTTCTACAAGGTCCCTAAAAATTAATGTAATTTTTCATTTAAGTTATCTTACTTTTTGAAACCGATCTATTGAACCGCTGGTCAATATGGCTATACTGCGATCTATTGGACCGCAACGTATTTCGGAAAAACCGATCTGGGTTTCGAATTTATATGTAACATTGAACAGACGTCAGTGGTAAACAATAATTTGAAACAATGCTCGGCTGTTGGCCTCGGGCAATAGAACACACTGAGGCACAGCTGCTCTGTGCACCTCGGGAAAAATATTCTGGTCTATTGACTGCTCAGGCATTAGATAATTGTATAGCATAGGCGTCAAAAGCAAATTATAGCGAGGGGCTAATTGAAAGTGGGGGGAGGGTTTAAATCTTAAAAAAAAAGTAAGCTTCAATTTTCAATTCTAATGCCTATATCATGTATACCTTAGCAAAAAAGTGGGGGGTTAACCCCCCTACCCCCCCTCCCGGTTCCGACGCCTATTTATAGTGTGGACCGAGGCACTTCCTGGTATCGAAGATGTCGAGTGTCATCCCTTTTTTTATGTACATTGAAATATGATTTTATAAAAAAAAAACTGGATTTCAGCGATTTCCGATTTTTAATATTATTAGTGAATTTAAACACTCAATACACAAAATACACTATCCCGAAACGAAGCCTCTTTTACTAGAAGCAATGTATCTCTATAATATAAGTTACTAAGCAAAATGATCGAGTGCGAGAAGTTTGTTGGTGGAAAACTTTACATTGATTAAGAACCGCTGTGTTTATGTCTTACAAAACAAATATCTGCATGGTCAGATGCTTAAGACTTGTTTGTAAGTGGCAGAACTTTCTTACCCCAACATCATGACCCAACCTTTTGTTTTAAAATAAATTTTAGAGACATTTTATGTCATTAATGATCTATTTTTTAATTAGTTTATATAACTCAATATTTAGGTATATGTGATATAATTGTGGGTCATTAATTTGTATACATATATATATAATGTTGCGGGATCAATGTACAGTACGAGTATATTGTTGTGGGATAGTATATAAGTATAAAGATATATAAGTATAAAGATATACGTATATATCCAAAAAAGTGAAAGAACATTGTTGGATATATACTGGGTTTAGGCAGTTTACGCTTTATAAACCGCGAAGTGGTCACCTTTTCAAACCATCAGGGACTGAATGGCAGAGGTTCATCCCGTGGGAGGATGAAAGCAAATACCCGAGACTATTTAGCGAGTAAAATGGTTAGAGATTGTCCTATTTTGAATTACTTGTTTTTATTCAATACGTTTTTGACGTAAATTTTTTTTTGTTCCCAAATCTTTTATCTCTTTCTCTCACATAAATGTGTTAATATTATAAACACATATATTACATAAATATATCTATATATCTATATCAAGGTTCTACATGTACATGTAATGCATGTATCGGATAATTATGGGTCATTTATATGTACATATATAGCTATAGAATATTGCAGGATCAAATTACAGGCAACTATACATCATTCTGGGTCAATATATTGATATAAAGAACATCGTGGGATATGTACAGTTGTACTTGTCTATCTATAAAATGTTAAAATCACATTGATTTGATTACACTTCCCTAAAATCTTAACGCGTGATAATTTTTTTCTGAATAATCCTTGAGTTGTGAATGATTTTCTGCGACTTCATACTGACATATTTCTTTATTACTTAAACTTCACGGTTCACATCAGGGTAACGCGCCTTCTTTATAGTAACATTTTAAAGTCATTTTATCTTATAAAATGATATACTTGAAGCTTTCTTTCATATCTGAAAAATTATATAGACTTTAGGAAGAACACAACTATAGAACGATTAAAACTTATAAAATTATTTAACCTTATTTTTTCTAGATTTATACAATGTAGTACATAGTACATTGAAAACAAAAGCTCATGCATGGCATGACATACATGTAAATAAATAATGCGTTACAATCTGATAATGATTCACTACAATTAGGCTATACAATCTAGTTGTTTCCCATAATCCCTCCAATACTCATGGGGAAGTATATAAAAAATTGTGGGTCACGCGCGAAATTCTGCCAATCCACAGAGTGGTAAGATTTCATATATATATAATTGCATTGTGGGTCATTTTTTGAGTGTGTAATTATGGGTCAAAAAAATTTTTTTTGTAAAAAATGAAAATAGTAACTATATTATTGTCATAAACAAATTTTTAGGCACATGGTTTGTGGGTCAATATATAATGACCCATAAACCATCCATGATACCCACAACGTGAGTGAAAAAGACACAAAATATCCCACAATCCGCATGGCACAAAACTATATATATATATATATATATATATATATATATATATATATATACTCCCCTGCCAAGAAGATTCAATGAATTGAAAACAAATGTTTATTAGACTTTAATATATATTTTTTTCTAATGTGAAAAAGCCATCAAACGAGAATGGGCTTCGGAAGTTACAGCATTTTCGTCACAGTACAGCTCATCAAGGTAAACAAGTTTTCATGTTCTCAAGTAATCTACATTAATCTAATCACAAAAAAATATATTTTATTACAAGATCACATTCATTGTTTACTGCAAATTTTCTAGCTACTCGGCAAAACAGATATTGGGAAAACCGAATGTCTATCCTAAATATAGCGCTGGTCCATTGACATGGATGCAGTCGAGTTATAATGCAAAACAATACATAGAGGTAAAACTAAATAAGCAAATAAGTAAAACTCTTAAAAGGGTGTCTCCTCTCACTAGATAATGATTGAATTCTTTAAAAAATAACCCACAGGCATAATCTTGAAAAAAAAAATCATCCGCACATAATCTTTTCAAAAAAGCCTTATTCCGTAGCTATGTGGGATTGATCAAGGTTCTTCAAATTTTCATTACATTGAGACATATTTAAAAACCAAGGTTACATCGTCATTTCTTTGCTGAATATCCTTTAAATTATCAGTTGAAATTCCCGGAAAAGATTTGGCTAACTGAGGTTAACATTTATGAAACTTATAATGCTGGAGCTGTCACTGGAATATTGGCGAAAAATGAAGAAAATCGATGGATTGAAATATTTAAGGCTCCATATGCACACTTAATCAAGAGATCTAGGATATTTTCCCCCAAAATAAAAGTGAGTATTTTTCATAGAATTCAGTGAAACATTTATTTTTTTTTTTAAATTCTGAGTGGTAAAAATTGGCATTGTTTTTTTTTACCCTTTGAGTAATCGTTTCTTTTCTAAGATGAAAATCTTTCAACAAAAATATCATTTTTGAAAGTCATTAGTAGGGAGCATACACGAAACAAATCGAAACATTATTGAAAAAATAATGATATTTTCTAATCCTTAAGTGTTTTAGTTAAGAATCGTTTTGAGTTATAATGGCATTGTTAGTATTAAAGTGTTTCATATAATTTTTAAAATTAAAATAAACACTATTATACTCAGAGATTGAACTTTCCTGTAAATGAGCTGAGAATCGAAGTTGATTGTACTGTCTCCGGTTCATATGTAGCTATTGACGCAGTTGAAATCGTTGGAGGTATTTCTTTTCATCTTAATATTGTATTTGTATTAGAATTTCAAGTTAAATGCTTATTAACAATTTTTATTAAACGAAACTAAACGCAAAAGAGAATGTTGGACCTCTGTTTATCATCATCAATTTCAAATACAGTTCGACTGAATGAGATCTGATGTTAATCACCAGGGTTTGATAAATTGTATTTTTTGATGTAAATCTTCACAGTTTTACAATATGTTACAAACCTGAAGGATTTGAACATTTTGTATTACATGGTAAAGATTACACGCGTCTTAATGGGTTTTTTTTATGGTAGATGAAAACGGGAAATGAGAATAAAATTTCACATTTTGACTATTGTATTTAAAATTATTTTCTTCTTCTCTGAAGGCACCCCATTCCCAGATGTTTAAGCATTTATGTTCTTATTCAATTTCCTTTTCATTGTTTATCCAATCTTTTTTTTTACAAAAAAAAACAAAACAAACAAACAAACAAAGGTGGTTGTCCTAGACGATTTAAAAAACTCTGGGATTCTTGTTATCTGATCAGAAAAGCTACAGTGTCAGCTGACACTGCATTCGTAAGTAACCAAAGACTTCTAAATGAATGTTTGGAAATGATAACATATAAATTACAATTTCTTTTGATTATCATTCAGGTGATTCTTTATGTATTACATATTATAGGCCAACTGTTTAGATGCTGGTGGATATCTGGCCAACTTTGAAACTCTCGAAGAGGCTTTGCGAATGAAAAATTTTCTAAAGAAAATGCATACAGGTATTAAATTAATGGAACAACTGAAAGATGCCCTTTTCTAAATTCTTAAGGTTTCTTCTATTCAAATTTTACTTATACATATTTTTCATATCAGTTAAAGATTAACTTATTGAAATCTATTCCATTTTTTAAAACTTAAAATATCAGGTTATAACTACTTTGTCGGGGGAAGAAATATAAACAGAAGAACGTCCGGAGGAGATTGGAGATGGATCAAGAAGGGACAAATGACTAAGATGAAATATTTTGCCTTTGCTGCCGGAGAACCCAATGGATCTGACAGCGCTCCTCAGGACTGCATGATGTTTTATGCAAGAAGCCGCTACAAGTTTCACAATATCTATTGTGATAACGGTTCATATCTTGGTGGCTATATCTGCGAAGCATGAAAATTGTCAAATTGAATATGATGCAATAAACTGAAAGCATTTATTATTGTTCTGATTTTTAGAAATATTTGCAAAAATTATGAATGTGGCCTGTCTATCGAACTAAAGATCTACCAAGGGGCAGTTCTTCTCATAGTGAAAATTTCTGGAGAATGTACTCCCTCTGCGTTGCTTGAATCAGTATTCTTAATGTCATTAATTTTCATTTTAGTCTATTTTCCAAACTTCCAAATGTTTTACATTCAAAATTATTAATTTAGTGGTCCTGAGATTCCTTAAATGAAATATATGGAGATAACGAACAGTATTCGAGCTCAAAAGTCCATTAAACATTAGAAAATAGATGCAGAGCAAACACGGACCTCTAAAGCATCAGAGGTGGGATCAGGTACCATGGAGGAGTGAGCATCCCCTGCCGACCGGTCACACCCGCCGTGTGCTCATTGTCATGATCGGGAAATAAACTTAAAGTAATTTGGTTATAGATGCATGTAGTTCCTTTTAAATCCTTTTAAAATAATTCATGTTAATCCACTATTGTAAAACATTGCATATCACTGACAATAACATGCAATAACACTCAAAGTAAGTTTAATTTTAGTAATAAACTACTGTATGTATGTTTTTTTCTAAAACACAGTAAAACACGTTTATAACGAAGTGCCATGGACGTTGACGATTTATAAGCTTAATTCTTACATCCATTAAGTTTACAATATATTTTAAAGTCATAGGGAATGAATTCACTTCGCTGTATGCGTCAATTCATTATAAGCGTGTTCGCTATAAGCGTGTTTTACTGTAATTGGTACTTGGACCCTTTGGTTTATATTTGGTTCTTTTTGTGAATAAGGTTAAAATAATGTGCAATATATAAATATTTGAAAATAAAGCTAAAAAATGAGAATGTTAGAATATATGGCTTAATGTGAGGAAAAAAGCAAAAAAAAAAAAATAAATAAATAATAATAAATAAATAAATAAATAAATAAAATAAAAAAAAAATAAAAAATTAAAAAATAAATAAATAAATTAATTAATTAAAAATAAATAAATAAGCAATATGTTTTTAGCCTAGCTCAAGAATTTACATTTCAGGTGAGCGTGGGGGCATTGTTTGGCTTACATTTACTGCGAGTTCTGATGAACAAAATGACTAAAAGCTATATGATATATACAAACTGAGCATAGAAAGTGAAAAAGAATTGTTAACTGAAATTAACTGATTAATTACAATATCTCAATGTGGTAAACTGCTTCGGCCTTCTTTCACTGTAAAAAGTTTCAATTCGCATTTCCTCGAACGAAACAAAAACAAAATATTTGATATCAGTGTACGGAATTTCTATTTTATTTATAAGAGCAACAGAATGATGCATACAATATCGAGGAGGCTCTTTGTTCATAAACTAATTAAGAATATAATTATATATGTGTATATATATATATATATATATATATATATATATATATATATATATATATATATATATATATATATATATATATATATATATATATATATATATATATATATATATATATATATATTTTGATATTCTTAATTAGTTTATAAACAGGCTTGGTTATGATGTCTCGATTTCAGCTAGGGCATAGGTAGGTAAAAGCTGGAGGCCAAGGTCGTTGATTTTGTAGAGAAGAAAGGTGAAGAATCTTGTATAGATTGCTTGACTCTTTCCTGGTAAGAGAGAATAAACAACAGTTTTCATCACATCATCACTCAGAATGTAAATGGTGTTGATCTGGTGGAATGTACTTGGACAGGTGTAGAATGTCCAGTCACAGAATAAGGTCCCGGAAGCTGCAAGGTCTCGTAGGTTGTCTGTTGTTGCAAATGACAGGATATCCTGCTGTCCTGAATGGTGTCGTCTAGGAGAAGGAAACGTTCACCTGTCTCTGTTTCTGTTTTATTTAAGAAATTTGGATTACACAAAATTTCAATAATTCTTCACCACGCAGTGGAAGAAATGTCACATTCATGGTTCGAATTTCCTCTAAATTACTTATTCCTAAATGAACATCGTGGGCTCCAGTGTCAGCCAGGGAAATTAATAATTTCTAAATGGTTAATGTACTCAAGAGAAATGGATTTTTTTTTCCACTATTCACACTTACAATGTACCATGTAAATGTTGTTTAATTGACAATTAAAAAATGTCATTGTAGCTTACACTCGAGATTGTTAAATTATGATTTTTTAAGAAAAAGATATTTCTTTATACATGATATTTTTTTAATTAAAAAAAAAAACCGATGAAAATGTTGAGTTTATCAATTTTATGAAAAAGTATTACTTGGTTTCACCACTGTTTCACTCACAGTTAGACAAGAAACGTGTGTAATGTTGACCCTGACTTCCTGTATAATGCATTGTGTATATGAATTTTTGGTCTTGAGTATTAGAACCCTTCAGGTAAATATCATCTATACTAATAAGACCACTCCCTCTCCTCAACGTGTCGGGTAAAAAAAATTGGGTCTTTAAGTATTTTATGATGATTTTTTTAAAGATTTTAATAATTCAAAATGATTAATAAATGAGTTAAATAAATCAGAAATTTATAGATACATTGTTTTTGTTAATTTCATGAAAAAATAGTTTGTGATATTTTTAAAAAGAATTTAAAAGAATTGAAAATGTGGTATAAATATCAAATGTGGTATAAATATAAAAAAAATCCTGTCCCACTCGTGAAATAAATTCCATATTCATCTACAAAACATTGAATATCCTCTATATATTTTACGTACAATAAGTACAATAACAGCGAAGTACTTTAATTTTATCTTTTAATTTTTTTTTTATACAGCAGAGTTCTGAAAATTAAAATATATAAGGAATGAATTTAATAGCTACCCAATTTATACAGTATAAAGTGGGTTGGGGCAGTTTACTTTATAAACCGCGAAGCGGTTTATAAAAAAGCGTAAACTTTTCCAACCGACTTTATACCGTATAAATTGGAAAGCTGTTAATTTCATTTCTTATAATTTAATTTTCATTCATTTAGTGTAAGAAAAAAGATTATTGCCCTCCAAAAATGACTTCAAATTGTACAAAATCTAAATGTAACGTCAGGCGGATCGATACGTTTTTGACGCAAGTCTTATGACGTAGGCAACCCAATTTATACGTAATAAAGTAAATTTTTTTTATCCAATCAAATACCGCGTTTTAACCAGAATTAAATCATTCTCCATTAAAAATGAATTTAAATGTATCTATCTGATTTATCAAATATTGCTTATCCAGGTAAACACAGGTAAATCTAGCTGTACCCGACCCAGAAAGCCCCTTATTTGAGTGTGATGATAACTTAATGTTGTTTTTGGTCAGTAGTCATTCGGGGAACACACCTGAATGGCTTATCCAATAGCGGGAAAATGATTAACCTCTTGACATAATGATAAGCACATTTATTTAATTCTCCACGAAAGTTTCTGATCCTCCTATGAATTCAGATTTTCTTTTTAAAAAATGAAAGAAGTAAAGAAAATGAAATAATTTTGAGAATGAATTCAGCGGCGGTGTGATGCGTTGACGTGCGATTGCTGACGTCTTTACATATTTTACATTTTATAGGTGGATTTTTGTATTGGCCTATTAACTTAAATACAATTATGTAACTGAGTCAATAGATTCGAAGGGAGATCCAAGAGTTTTTTCGGGTTGGGCGGGGTGGGGGGTGGGGGGTGGAGGGGGGATTACATTTAAACTTATAAAGAAAAGAATGCAACTGATTTTTGAGTAAAAAAGAAATAAAAATAAGATAATGCCCGAACAAAAAGAAAAAATGTATTTCTTGGAAAATGGGAGGAGTTCTCTCCTCGTGGTCCATCCTCTTTCCTACATATTATCTTAAAAAGTTTTTTTTTTGGGGGGGGGGGGGAGGTGGTGGTAGTATTTTTAGTTTCTTTATATCAAGACGACGACACCTTGTATTTCCTACAAATATACATCGACTATTGCTCCCAAACTTTTTAATTACAAGAAAACTTTACAGTGCCTGGATATCGAATATCTGAAACATAATCCTCCATCGTGTTCATGTTCTTCATCACCCTATAACTATAGTCCTGCTGGACACGTTATTATTGGTGACGTAAATATAGTTAACAAGCATTCTGAGAGTATTGCATTAGCAATACTAGTCCCCTATCGGCAAGTGTAATCTGGTTCCCGTTAAGAATGGAAAATGCCATAATTCCGTCAAAAAACAATGAAGCAGGACGAAATGCAAACTTGATCTATAGCTAATCAAGGTAAAGTCACATACCGAAAATCAGCTCAATATCTGAAAGCATTTAGAAGAAAATTGCGGAAAACTCTTAAAAATTGAAAAGGCCGTAATTCCGTCAAAAACCAATGAAGTGGAACGAAATGCAAACTGGATCTGTAACTCATCAAGATACACTCACATACCAATTATCAGCTAAATATCTGCAAGCGTTTTGGAAAAAAGTGTGGAAAACCAAGTGGGACAGACTGACAGACAGACAGACGGACAGACAGACAGACTCAGAGGAAACCTATAGTCCCCTCCGGTTTCACTGGTAGGGGACTAATAATGAGGACCTTAGATCACTATCTTTAAAAGGTCCTAAATATAGGGAACCCCGATCCTTCAACTGGCGTCGGAATTTTATAAATATTATGGATTCTGTAGAGGATTACGCCAGGCGATGGGCAAGACATGAAAAAGAAGACATTGACACTTTGTCAGAATGGATTAAATGTATCAGATGTATGTTAAAATCGCACATTAAAAGATTGAGGGGCAATATGAGAACCATCTATCCATCTGTATTCAATAATCCAGAAGTGAAAAAAGAATTATATTGTAGATAGATTACATGATCAGTATGTACTGGTCCCTGCTGACAAAGCAGGTAACAACATTGTCTTTGTTTGTAAGGCTAATTATATTGAATGTATTTTAGAGGAACTTGGATTTAATTCTACAAGTGGTAATCCAACTTATAATCATAGTTCTCTTTCTAAGGAAGAAATTCTTCAAAATC